CTTGTCTGCAATCGTTTCTTCCTTGGGAAAGCTGGCCAGGGCAAGAGGAGAAACAGAGACGCTCCCAGTCCTGCTACTAAATTCCATACCAGAAGCCATGCCACGGTGCAGGTCCCCAGCTCTGCATCTACACGTGTGCAGGGTGGGGTAGGTGGATCGTGGGAAAAGTGGGGCAGGAAACCTGCTTCAGCTGAAGTGTCGAGACCGTCTGAACATTTCACTCATCTCTTCTCCTGTGACCATGGAAATATGGAGTCCCTAGTAATCAACAGAGTACCCAATGGCCAGTGGCTGAATCAGCATTAGAATTTTTCCCATTCATGAATTCAGGCAGATCTGAACCTTTCTTCTTGCAAAGTTCACAAAAGTGGTGAAGTAAGGTGGAGTGGTTAAGAACACTGACTGCCTGGGTTCAAACACAAGCCCCTTACCAGTTTTGTGACCTTATCAAATTATTGAACCACCCTGTACCTCAATCTTCTCATCTGAAAAATGGGAGAGGAAGGTTGATAATAATACCAATCCACCAGGGTTGTCTAAAAAATAAGCAAATTAATTTATATAAAGTACCTAGAATAACACCGAGCATTAAGTGTGAGCTATTATCAGCAGTTTTCAAATATACCAGTGCCAGGCTGTCTGCATCTGCATCACTGGGGGCCTTTATAATCTATAAAAATGAAGATGCCCAGGCTGTTCAGCAAGGGCAAAGTGGAGCAAGACCTTCCCAGGATTTGTGACTGCAGCTATGTTAGAGTGATTCCTCTGGGCAGAGTTTCCAGGAATAAGGATCTTCAGCAGGATCTTTTGGGAGGCCAGAATACAGTCTTTCAGAATCCATCCAGACCTGCTGAACTTTGGCAGAAAGAGCTCAAGAGTCTACAGCAAATTGCCCAGGTGGCATGAAGCTGCCTAAAGCCAAAAACCCTGCCTGAAATGACATTCCCCTCTGTGGCTTCCAAAACTGCCTCCACCCTTTGCCCACGCTGGAAACCCTACATTCAAAACCATAGGGTTTCTAAGAACTCTTGAGGATTAACTAAGATGACTGTTTTAGTTTAATAATGTGAGTGTATCTTTGACTTTAACAGCATCTTTATTTTTAAACTAGTTCAGGGATAACCTCATAATGTGTGTGTTACCTGTCTGACTTCCTAGGCTGGAAAGGGTGAGCATCACCAGCCACTGGCAGCTTTGCTCTGCCAAGCCAGGAGGTTCGGGACTGGCCAGGGCTGGGCCCGACCCCTGCAGCTGTCTACACTGCCAAGAGTCTTCTCGAGAAATAGCCCAGGGCTGCGTTACCCTATCTCACCAGCATTCCACTCAATGGCTTCGGGTGGCCCTCCACAATCACTGAGTAATGGCAACCATTTTACAATACACAGAAAATAAAGTCAGCTAACGGATAGAATTCTCTCAAATTTACTTTTCTCTCCAGATAAATTTTTTTAAAAACTTTGGTGCCTTCTACCGCTTGCAGGCTCAGGATACCCAAACCGGAGGCACACATAACAAAGAAACACTAATCGAAAACGCAGAAACAATCAATTGCTGCCTGACCTGGTGGCCTGTTGTAGGCATCCAGACTGAGGTTGAGGGTTTTTGCCACCAACCTGTGATAGACTTAACTGTGGATGGTGAACTTAGGGCCCTTGCATTTCCAGGTGCGGTATGTGTGTTCATCCATCAGCGATTCCTTCGGAGAATCCACTATTTGCTAAGTCCTGAGAAATCTACCACCAAATCAAGCACGTGCACACTCAAGGGTGGCAAATCCAGGATTTCCCTCTGGGCCACATCAAAGAGCAGTTCTCCTGGGAGTGCTCTGGCCAGGCAGTGTGGCAACCAGAGGCCACCTGCATTTGTTATGGTCATTCATGGACACTGGTCTGAGGCTAGGAGGATGCTACAGGCTGTCAGTCATTTCAGAGGCAGTGCCTCCCAGCAGGGCCACCACGCTTAGCTCAGGAATACTCTACTCCGAGGGAGTAGTGTCTGCTTCCAGCCCAACACCACAGAAGCCCAGATCTCCAGACTCCACCATGAAGGGCATGGGCCAAAGGGCAGCTCAGAGAATGCAGCCTGCAGACACCAGCAGCCCATCGACAAGCGCTCAGATCCAATGTGAAAAGACATGAGCTTCAAGAGACAGCTGTTTTTCTGGAGACAGAGAAAAGAGGCCTGGTTCTCGGTGGTCCAGGGTATGTCAGCATCCCTGCCCCCGCCCCCGCCCCCAGCCTGCCTGCTCCTCTCTGAAAGCCTTTGCCCCAGGCCATCTCTCTCCGGAGCAGAGCCAGGGGCTAGATGGAAGTGGGAGGAAAGGGTGGAGAGCAGGGGCGGTGTCCGTCAGCGTGGGCCTACCCCTCTCTGCAAGGTAGCCAGCTCCCTCTTCCTTCCATTGAGGCAGAGGCTCTCACAGGACACCGCCTGCTTCTGGCTAAGTGTCCCCACCTGGCCCATGGTTTCTGCTAACGCTTTGGTCCGGCCCTGGCCTGTGCTGAGGACCTGCCTGGTCTTGGAGCCGCTTGCCCTGGGCGACAAGGCCCCACTGAAATTCCACCAGAGACCCAGGAAAGACGACCCGCAGACACAGAAGTAGCCAAACCCGCCAGGAGGGGCGCCCCCTGGCCACGGCAGTTTGAGAGGGATCTGCGATCTGCGTAGGCAGCTCATTGATCCACTTTTCTGATAATTATTCCTCACTCATCACAAATGAATGACGCTGGCCGCAGCCCAGCCAGGCAAGCGGGAAGGCACCTCCGCGTGTGCAGAGGAGAAAATGAGTTTGCCTGTGCTCACCCGGGAGAGGCAGGAGTGAATGGTGTGTACTATCTCTGTGCGCTGAGCAGGAGGCCAGGGCTGCTTTAATATTCTGCTGAATGTGGCGTTTCTTTTAACCCTTACTGGAGAGACGTTCAGTCCAGAAAGCCAGGCTCTTCTGGCTAGGCTAAAGGTAAAGTTTCTGGGCTGCGCATAGAGAAAGGCCACAGGCCCGACTCTGGGTCGCTCCAGAAGCCACGGGTGACCGGACGGGTACAGGGGGCTGGGTACCGGCACCACAGCACCCTCCTTGGGGCAGCTCCAGTCCAGCAGACAGCTCAAGAGAGGGTCTAGGGCGGCACCAGCGCGCCGCCAGACGCCTGGGGACTTCCCATACATTTGCTCCCCAATTTCACTCGAATGCAAAATTGCAAGTGCCCTCCTTCAACGTGGAAACCCAACCCTGAGGCCAGGTTCCTAAAGTGGGCACCTATCAGCTCTCCGAGACCGAGCCGCTGACCCTTCAGCGGACGGCAAGAGAGGCGGGCAGGATGCGCCGCCCCAGCGCTAGAAAGTCCAGTGTGCCCTCGACCATTGCAAATGCCCGCTCTCCCAGGTCGTCCTGACCGCTTTGGAAGTGTGCCTCGCCCACCCGGCCCTAATTCAACCGCTCCCGCGCTTGTCCCTCAAGAAGCCAAACCAGAGCAGCCCGTGCGCGGGGCGTCTACCGCGCCCCACAACGCTCCAGTCCCTGCACGACCCCAAAAGCAACCCACGAGCACAAAGACCCAGCAGCCGGAAAGGGCAGCGGCACGCGCAGGGCAGACAAAAAAACCACCTTCAGAAAAGCAAGAGTGAGCTTTCGAGGCGTTAATCGCCGCACCCCCGCGCCGCCACCAGAACGAACGCGGGATATGGTGGTCTTCACCACCAGGCCGGGGAATCCTAGCCCCGCCCGGGGCCAAAAGGCCCCAGGTTGGCTCGGAGAAGGGCAGCGCTTTCCGGAGGGGTAGGGGCGCTGAACCATGAGGCTGTGGGGCGGATGGACGGTTTCGCTGGGCAACCAGTAGCAGTAGGACAAGGACCCGGGCAGCCCAGTGGAGCGAGCTCCCAGCTCGGAAGGCAGCGCCGGCGCTGGGGGCCGCGCGCGAAGTCCTTCGAAGGAGTTCCACCCGCGCCGGACACGGGGACTGCGAGCGGGGCTGAGGTGCGCATTTCCCCCAGAGTTGCTTTCATCCCGGCACTAAACTCCGCTCCCGGCCGGGCTGTGTTTCCGGAGGTGGGGGGGGGGTGCGACCGCCGCTCAGCTGCGAGGGATGGGGCGGGAGAAGACGGCGGGTGGCGGGAGGCGGGAGTGGGGCAGGGATTTCCCACAGGGATTCGCGGGCGCCGCCGAGCGAGGAGCTCCCTGCTGCGCCAGGCGCGGTGCCCGCCGAGCGCGCTTTCCCCGCCGCGGCGGCGGCGGAGGCACAGTCAAGGCTGAAGTAGCGGTTGAGAGCAATGCTGCGCATAGGCTACCTTCCCCAGCCAAAGGGTAGACCGGGCGAGTTTCGGCAGGACCGATCAGCCACCCCACCCCACCCACGTTTCCAGGTGCAAGAGGCGACAAAGGTGTCCACTTGTCCCCGACTGACTCGGGAAGAATGCACCCCGCAGGATCCCGGACCACTAAGCTGTCCCCCGAGAGTCGGGCCATCTAACTCAGCCCCTCTCATTCGGCAGCCACTTGCAGAGTACCGGGGCAGAGCTTCTCCGGTCCCCGCGCGCAGCGCCAGCATGCCGAGCCGAGTCCCAGAGCCTGCGGACCCGGAGCAGGGGAAAAGGAGAGGTGGCCCGCGGCCGCCTAAGGGCGTCGGTGCCCGGGATAGGAAGGGAGCGGACAGACGCCCGCACTCCAGCGGCCGGACGGCCAGAGGCGCCCCTTCTTCCCCAACGCCCAGTTGCGCCGGAGCTAAGGAGCCTGCACCGCAATGCAGCGGGCTCCGTGCTCTCCGAGGCTGCGTGAGACCAGGGCTGCTAGGGAGCGCCGGAGCGCGGGAGCCAGGGGGCTCCGCGAACCAGCTGCGGGCGCCGAGAGCCAGCCGGGGGCGCGCGGGTGGGTGCCGCCCCAGCCCCGCGCTCAGTCGTGGCCGACGCTCTCCCACAACCTGGCCCTCGGGTCTCGGGATGAGGGAGACGCGTAGCAGCCAGAGAAACCCCGGGGATACAGCTGCCAACTTGCTCCGCGGAGGCTACGTTACCTTCCATTGCGGCCACTGCGGATGCCAGGAGGAGCAGCAGCAGGAAATCCAGGGCCATCGCCGGCCGGCGGCCCCCAGGCCGAACCCAAGCCGAGGCGGCCGCGCGGGGAGGGCGCCGCGTCCCGGGGCGCCGCTGCGCTCCCCGCCGGTGGCTTCTCCGTATCCTTTCGCGCTCGGGCCGGGACCGGACTTCCCGGAGCGCGGCGTGGGCGTGGGCGGGAGTGTGCGCGCGTGGGGCGGTGCGGGCGCGCGTGGTTGTGGGTGTGCATGTGTGTGTGTGTGTTTATGGGAGAGGTGGGTGTGTGCGTGCCTGTGTGTAAGAGAGAGAGGGCGAGGGAGTGCGAGCCGGGTAGAGCGCGCGAGTGCGTGTGCGTCCTCGTGTCACATTGCGAGCTACATCCGAGCCTACGAGAGGACGGAGCCGGCCAGACTGACGGGGGAGGGAGCGGGATCCCCCACCATCAGCTCTCTCCCCACCCCTAACACCTCCTGTCCAATCAAGGAATCAAACCTGCAAAATTCCCCCATCCAATCAGGCGCGAGCACCTCCTTACACTGGCATTGTTAGTTTAAGAAAAACTTTTGCTTGCAAGGCTGTGCGGGAGGGCTCGGAAGGCGCTAGGAGGGGTCGGGGCTCCCCCTGGTGGTGCTCCCGGAGAACCGCAGCAGCCGGCCCTGGCTCTCCACGCCCTGATCTAGGGGGCCAAGGGAAGAAACGGACTCAGGCCCTTCCCCTTTACAGCCCACCAAGTTTAGAAGAGTTTTAAATAATCAAATTTTTCTTCCTTCATCTTCTCAGCAAGACTGCGCTGACTACCCTATTTTGTGCAACCTCGATGGCACACCTTCACCTAACATGGTTTTATACTTAGCCTGCTTATTGTGGGTCTCTCCTTACTGGAGTGGGGTCTTCGTTCTTGGGATTCGTGTGTGGGCTTTGTTCACTGCGGAATGGCCAGGGCCTAGAACAGTGCCTGGCCCGTCGAAGGTTATGGCGTGCATCTGCTGACTGAATGAATGAGGTTCAGAGAATCTAGGGGCATCAGCCCCGTGTGCAGAGCAAGGTATATGCTTCCTATCCAGCTCCCTGCTGCTCTCCTCCCCCGCAAGAAGTCCCTGACTTCCTTTGGTGTGTCCTTCCACATGTGTTCTGTGAACATCCACTGAGGACCCCAATCCCAGAAAACAGGTCAGGTGGGAATGAGCAGTGGCCACATAACCCCCTAGAGGGGCGTAATGCAACAGGGACAGTGGAGAGCTCTGCAAGGTAGTGGGCAGGGAAAGGCACCCGTACTGTGGGGGAAGAATTAGAAGGACTGCAGGTGGGGACAGGGCATTGGAGACAGGAGTGGTTCTCCCTAGCCCAGCTTCCCCAGCTCTGCTTTCTTTAGCCGGATGGTTTAAGATCAAGGACCTGCCTTGAGGCTGTAACGCTATGCTGGAGAAGTGTCCTCACTGTCCCACCCCCTCCCCAAACCTGATGATGCTCTCCTTCTTCAGGATCAGGGACGACCTGTTAGGTCACCCCTCCCCGCAGCAGCCACCTCTTTCCCACCAAGCCTTTCCCAGATTTGTCAATGACTTGACAGTGGGCAAATGTGCTAGCCTCTTTCATGCTCCCTGTTCTCCTCTTACCGCGTTGCCAAATCAAGTTCCCACCCTGAAATGTTTAGTCTCTCCTCTGCCCCCACTCAGTCCTAGCCAGACTCCTATCTCCATTCTGACATTGTTTTGCTTCCCCTCTCTGACTCAGGCTACCTCCCTCTCCACTGCCCTCTATCCCAGCTGCCTCGGCATCGGCCTTCACTCCCTCCTCCTCCTCAACACCATGCCAGCTGCCCTCTGCCCCATCACGCTGCACCAAGTACATCCCAACATCTCTGAAGCCATCATCCCAGGAAGAACGCGCTCCCATTACCCATAGTCCTCCTAAGGCCTCAGCACTCCTGACATTAGGGACCAGTTCTCCTGGAGCTCTTGCCTTGGTTTCCATGGTGCCCACTTTCCTCCTACCTGTCTTAGCACTTCTTACTGTTCCCTTTTCAGTTGTCAGAGAGGTTCCCCTGACCAGGCTTCATCCTTGGAACCTCTGCTTGCTGAGTTCCTCAGCAGCTTCACCTGCTCTTCTGCCTCCAGCCCTCCCCCTGTGGATGAACAGATAGATGAGTCTCAGGCTCTTTTCTGTCCTTTGTTACATCAGTCTTAGGAGAGACATATCAAGCAAGGTCCCCTCTGCCACAGCTTGCTCCCTTGTCCCAAGCCCATGAACCTGTCCTAGTGCCAGCCCAATGCCTTGGCCACCCAGCTTCCAACCCCTCCCTTCCCCAATCCTGCTGCTGCCAAACCAGTCCTCCTCCAGCCAAGCTTGATCTTATCTCTTCTGAGTACAGAAACCTAATGGCTCCTCATTGTCTGCTAAAGAAAGACTGACCACTTTGGGCTGGCATCCAGACTCCTCCACAAGCTCCCTGCAACCTGCCGTCTCAGCCCAGACTCCACCAGCCTCCCTGTGGGCCGGGCTGTTCAACCAGCTTGATCCCCTAAACACAGCCCAGGCATTCCTTCCCTTGCACCTGGCTAGCATGCACTCACCCACTTATTCCAGGGAAATGTATTGGGTAATGACTATTAGCCAGGCAGATCTGCTCAAGGCTATAGGGACGCAGACACAGGAGAGCTTATGGAGTAGTGGAAAAGGATGACTATAAAGAGGAAAGAGATGTCAGGTAACAGGAAGAACTGGAGAGTCAGCAAGGTACCAGCTAAAGGGTGATGGTGGGTAGTGAGAACAGGTGTTTATTGAGCACCTGCTGCATACAGGCATTGCACCAGATGTTTTTGTGCAAACTGAAATGAAATAAATTTGCTGCCTTCAACTTCCTCCCAAAGCCCACCTTTCTCAGGAAGCCTTAGTGTCGCCTAACTGTCTCTCTCACTCACAATCTTGTGCTACATCTCCCTGTGTGGGTACAGAGTGGCTCTTCCAGACCTGGATGAAGGCACTATCCAACAGCAAACCTCCCTTCTGGGAGGATCCTGGGACATCACAAGTACAGGAATGCCAAGAACTATGCCAGGCACTCTGAACCTGTGCCAGGATCACAAGGATCACCAACCTAATATCTTCTGGCCCCTATGGCTCACCGTGAGGATTTTAAGTCGGTAGGGATAGGGCCACAGATGTTTTTTACAGTCCACACCCTGAAGGGTTCTACTGCTCAGAGAGGCTTGGGGGCCACTGTCTAGGAGTTTCAAGCTGTGCTCCAAGGATCTCTCAGGGGACACGCAGGTAGGGAAGTACAGATGCAGTCAGAGGATGGGGCTTCAGACCTCACCTCTGTTCAGACAGACTTTTGTTTTACTGAGCATCTATATCAGGGTTTTGTTTAAAGGAAGGGTTCTATGATAAGAAGAGAAGGAGGCAATTGGATTGAGCTGGGGATGGGCACATCAGTTCACAAGGGTCTGAGGGAATGACACTGATGACTTTTAGAACACGCTGGTGGCTCAGGTAAAAACAGCTTCAGTTTAGGGCTTTTGCTAATTTCCCTAATAGCCCAGGGGATTGACTTTTCCTGAGCAAGTTAAATATTAATTTAGCCGTTCAGCAGATTGATCTCTCTCGCAACACGTTATGCTCTGTAAATATCCCTGAAAGCACCATTGGTTGGTATTCCAAGCCTGGGTGCCCATTTCCCCCAAAGCATCTCCTAGGCTGGTGTTTGTTTTTTTTTTTTTCCTGATGTCAAATGCTCACTTGTTTTCTTGATTAATCACCCCTCTATTTGATATCACTAAATCACTCCTTCAAAGTGACAGATATTTGCCTGTAAGCCAGCAGCTGAGCACTCTCAGGCACCCAAGGGTGACTTGACCCTTTTGTTAAGACTTAGAGGCCCTTCTGGTTGGAAAGTTTGGGGGCAGCTAACTAGGACACCCCCACCTCTAAACAGTTTTGTGTCTAAAAGATTGAAAAGCATTTCTAGTGAAAGCAACTACCCAACTTCCCTTCTATACATTATGAAGCTACTCCACTAGAAAGTTCTTGCTCACCTCCAACCTGTATCCCTTTTGTTGTAGTTTTAGCCTGGTTTCTTCATTCTACTTAGTAGTGGGAGCATAGGTGAATAGTAACCAGTCTGAGAATGATCATATGGGTGTCTTGTACATGAGATCTTAAGTTGCTCCTTTATCCTATCGTTTTCTTTCTAAGCATTACTTAACTGCACAAATGAAAGGTTTTGTTACACAGTCCATGACCCAAGCTACTTTTAAGTAGACTCTTAAGCTGCAAGACACATTTTGATCAATTCTTTTTGGAGAAGCAGGCAGATCATGCATGCTTCTTTAAGACATTTTAACAATGGATTATAAGCAAAGAACAAAACTTTTAGTGTTTATTGAGCAGGAATTCCATGTTGGTGACCAACAAGGTGCTAGGGACCCGGTGATGTCTGTGACCCGAGCCCCACGTTAAGGTTCTCAGGGTCTCCTTGGGAAGACAGACACTGAAATGCATTGTGGGACTTTCTGTACAAAATGACCTCTGGCTAGTAGCTTCCAACAAAGCTGCTCCTCATTTCTCAGGAAAACACCTCAGCAAATACAGACAAATATAAAGACTCAGAGTAACAAGGTGAATGAACACTGACAGACAACCTAATTGCCAGGATGTAGAAGGAACTGACAATCCTTATAAGGCCGATGAAGCTGGGTGGAGAAAAACCTATCAGGCACATGTATGACATATGCCAAACTCTCTTCTATAAAGAGAAGTTGCTTTAAAGAAATAGGTAGGAAGATATGTGGTAATTCCTACCCTGTCAATACCTGACTCAGACACCCAGGATCTCTACTAACCCGAGAATGGAGTAAATATCCATTACCGTTACTGATTCAGCTCCAAAGCAAATGAAAAACAGTTTCCCTGAGTCATCTTCCTCCTTTTCCTAAGGTCTTCTTATACCCAAGAGAGTCTGAAAACAAGCAAGACAACCATGCAAACAGATGAGCTGATGGAGACACAGTGCATTCCAGAGGGGATTAAAAGTCAAGAGG